CTGTAGACAATTTTTTTTTTACTCAAATCTAAATTTGTCTCTTTACATCAACCAATAAATTTTTGACCAATTTCTCCTACTTCTGCCATGTAGGGTCAAGTAGAATAAATCTTACCCCTTACTATAAGACAGTCTTTCAAATATTTAAAGATGGCTTTTATGTCCTCTCTAAGGTTTCTCTTAACATCCCTAGCTTCTTGAAATAAGGCAAGGTGCTGAGATTCTTCTGGTTGCCCTCTCTGGATGATCTCTACCTCATCAGTTTTTCAAACAGAATTAACTGTTAAAGTAATTTCCCTTACTGAGTTAATTAGGTTCTGGCCTCAGATTTCATTGGTGTAAGGAATTCCCAGCATGGAAATTCCCTCCAGAGGTTCAACTCAGCCACTTGTCAGTAATAATGGTCTCAAAATTAAAAAGTTAAATGATTTTCCAATAGTCATAACGCTAGTATGTTTCAGAGAAAGGATCTGAACCGAGGTCCTCCTGACTCTAAGGCTAAAACACTCTTTAATCATCATGCATGTTGGGTTTTTTTTTTCTTTTATACTGTGTTGAAACAAAATCTCCCTCTGAAACATCTACCCACTTGTCTTAATTCTCTTCTCTGGCACCTACTAGAGTTTGTCCAGTTTTTCCACCAAATGATTGCCCTTCAAATATTTGGAGACAGTTGCTACATTCCCCACCAAGTCTTCTCCAAAAGATTTAGTTTGTTTTTCAAACAGATGCAAAGTAATAGTTTAATCGGAGCTGCCTCCCTTAAGATATTTCCAAATTGAAAAAAAAAAAGAGGAATATATGTGAAAAGTGAAGAGAAAACTGGATTGAAAAAACTGAAGTTGAAAAGAATGATAGGCAACCTTAAAAGCTGAAGCAGAGAAAATTTAGTTGGAATAAAAGTGTGTAATCTGAAGGTCCTAGGGAGAAAAATATTTTCACTGAACAGGGATCAGAAAATTAAGGGTTAGAAAAAATGTATTTTTTATTAAAAGTTTGGCATGAAAATGCGAAGAACATGTAATGTTGGTTTATACCTAATTGCATACATGCTGTCATAAATCTGTACTTGTCTCAAAATTTTATGCTGCTTAAAACACTTAGTTCTAAGAAAAACTTTAACTCAACCGCTGTACTACAGAAAATAACTACAGTTAAATTTGATGTTTTCTTCTCAGATCCCTTGGATACCACTGGATAGCAGGATTATTCATTGGCAAGGCAGCCTCTTCTTTTCTCACTTATTTTTGGAGAGAAGAATTAACTGTGAGGAAAAGTTATTTGTCAATCAGGAGAGAAAGCAATATTGCTTTGCTCAGTAGGTAGGATAATAAGAAAGAGATAGAATCCACTTTGCCTTGATAGCAAATAGAAGAGATAGGTATAAAGAAAATGCCAGTTAAAAATGATTACTATTACATTTCTGGTACTTACTGGTTAACAGTATCCTTCCTTGTTCTTAACATTTCTCTACCACTCCTTACTTTATGTAATATTGGGAACACAACCTAATTTTCTGTACTTTAATATAACATTAATTCAGTCTCCAATAATCCAGAGGGTACAATTATTTGTCTGGGGTGCTATCACAGATTTATAGTACTATCAAAAGATTAAGGAGAACATATCTAACCTGCTTAAAGAGGAAAAAAAAATTAAGAACTTCAGCACACTGACTGCATGCAAATTATGCTCATTACAATTGAGTTTTTTTCAGTTAATTTAAGCAGATAACATGACTATACCTTAATATTTTGTAAGAAGTTTGATAAAATTATTTGAAGATAATTTAAGCATGACTCAAGATTGTTAACTTGAAATTCAAGCTGACCTTTCCAATTAGACTAAATTAGGAAGCTCATCATGTATTAGAGTTATTCAACAACTACAATTTGTAGATTGATTTATCCCTTGCCATATTTCTGTAACTATTCTCCTCTCAAAAATACTTCTACACTGGAACTTCACTATTTGTCACATCATGTAATTAATCAGAAATCAAATCTACTTCAGACATCATCTGAGAGACAAGTACCAGAATGATTTTGTTATAAATTTTTCCTACAATACATTTTAGCTCAACATAAGCTGATACCAACTTGAATGGAGTGTGAAGGTTTTTCTATACATTAATTGGCATTTTTAACATACATACTTAAAAGTTAAATAAATTTAATATTGCAACTACAGTTATATTTTACATATATGTATATTTTCCTTTTTATCATTTTTTAATCATCTTTATTCAATAATCATATTCTAACATAAAGCTTAACTCCACTAAAGTCCACTTACATCAAAGATAGAGAGTAATAACCTTGGAGATGAAATGGGTTCTAATACCATGTTTTTCAGTGTGTAGGCTTAGACTTTTATTTTTTAAACTTTTTTTTCTAGTTCCAAATTCTTTCCCCTCCCTCCACCATCCACTGAGAAGGAAAGAAATACAATACCCAGTATACATATATGTATATTTTCAACAAAACTGTTTTATACTGAACTGGGGGCTAGCAATCAATTAGTTTTGATTGGCTAGAAGCTGGACTTTGTGGATGTCATGATCTTACTTCAGCTGACTATAACATATACACATATATGTGCTTATCCTGTAGACTGGTTTAGAGAATGAAAAAGATTTATATTTTTCCTTCAAAATGCTTTATGCATATGATAATAAGTTGAACACACAGTTTTTGAGATGTCATTCAAAGTTCCATGTTTGGAGGCTAGTATTTTATCACTGTTTTATCCCCATGGTGTAACATAACTGAACACAATGAAATATTTCACACTGTTTATATCAGCAGTCCACCCTAAGGGGCTCCTACAACTTTATGATGTAGGAGTCAACATGGGACATTTATTTTGGATATTTCTTACCTGTCTCTGATGATACTGTTGAAATGACATTTAACTATGAATTACAGGATCTAGAACTACTCAATTACAAAGAACTATCTTCAAACACTCTCCTAAAACCTACTATAAATTTTTATCACAGGACTTTGAATATTTGGATACAGTAGTTTCACTTCCACATACCTTATTTCAGACTGAATTCTCCTTTTCAGATGCCATTACCTTGGATGTCATTTTCTTCCTAGACATGAAAGGGTTTAAAATTATGTAAGATACTATGATGATCTCTCTATTCCTTAGGTGGTTTTACCCAGAGATTCTCAACCTTTTCCACCATGAGCACTCAAATACACAGATCAGGCATACTACTCTACATTAGTATGTCTTTACCTTTCATTTACATTCTTATGATCAATTCTGCATTTTCCTTGCCAGTAGAAAACAGAAGTATCAGAGTAGGGAAAGTCCAAAGTCTAATTTTATCCAGGGTTTCGGATTTTCCAGGCTAGGACATTTCTCATGAAAAAAACTTGCAAAAAATGGTTCATATTTTATCTTTTTCTTTTCCTCTTTGCACATTCTCTGGGAGATGTTTAAACAAGCAGAAATGGCAAAAAGCCAAGAAGTGAAGAAAAGCTATGGACCTAAGCAATTGGCTCTTTAATATTTAAAAGTTGGCTGTAGAAATCCACATTATCTAACATCATTACACATTAATTTTTTTGTTTTGTCTTATTTTCTCTAATTTTTTCACACTGTCTCAAGACTTACTCTCACAAGAATCAACTTCACCCAGCAAGTATTTTTTCTGAAGCTACTAAACTTTATAGTCATTCCAAAGAGGCTGAGAATCCCAAGTATAACCAGAGATATTACATATGATGTTACACTTGTTATCTTAATCAATCATAAAGAAGAAAAGCTAATAGTCTCCCCATTCAAAAAATACTTCCTCATGCTTAGCTTTTATAAGAAAAACAACATATTAAAGATCAATTCTACTGTAGGAATAAAACATGCAAAACATTATTTTTATAATTAATTAATACTATGATTACATGTAGACTTTTGTTAGATAACTTGCTAAAACAACTATTTGGTCAGTCAGAAAAAACTATTTTAACCGTTACACAAAAGTAACATGAGAATATAATAGAATGAGACTTTTTATTTCATGATAATAAAAAAGTGATCACATAGTTATGGCACTTTTAAAGTTTTACATGATGTAATATTTTGTATAATCATCTGTAAATGTGACAAATAAATCATCTGTAAGATATCGGCTTTTTTTTGTTGTTCATTTTTTTCCCCCAGAAGTAATGTCATTTGGCGGCAGCTAGGTGGCAAAGTGGACAGAGTACCAGCCCTGGATTCAAGAGGGCCTGAATTTAAATTCGGCCTCAGACACATAACATTAACTAGCTGTGTGACCTTGGGCAAGTCACTTAATCCCACTGCCTAGCCAGAAACAAAAACAAAAAAACAGAAGTAATGTCATTCATGTGAATATTACCATGTGGCCAAGATAGAGACAAGTGCTTAGAGATTATGCTATGACAGGAAAATTATCTGTGGCTAAAGTAAAAGTATTCAGAATTCTTTTTATATCCACTTCTCTGAGCACAGCAATAAGCAGAGAGAAACTAAACTGTAACTCAGGAATGGCTAAATGGAGTATAAATTTTGGAAAAGTACTATTAACTACACTGAGAAAAGTGAATGCATAATAAGAATTATTTATAGTAAAAAAATTTTCCATCTTTACTAAAAAGTATACTTCTCTGGGATGAAAGTCATAGAAATGACTTATTTTCCCTAGAGTACTATTGGTGAGTAAGCTATTTCTGGGGCTGTAGCTGTAGGGCTACAGTGTGTGTTAGCTGGTACATAATGAATTTTTTAGCTCATTAGTGTATCATTTAGTGCACTAGAAGGGTTAATCATCAAATACTCATATAAGTCATTTACTTAAATGATTGGTTCAATCACAGGAATAATTATTGGTGAAGACTTTAGACAAGTAAATTAATGTGAAATGGAACATGTAAAGTGCATCAATAAGTCACAAAAAAGCAAACATACAAACAGCTCAGAGCATGAATTATCATTACAATAAATAAATACTCCTGAGTCAAAAATGGCATGCCAATTTTTTATTGTCTTCTAAATCTACAGACTTGATATTCAAGTTCTGAAAACCATGCAAATTCATTTCGAGGATAAAGGCATGTGTTAAAATGACACTGATATCACAATTACTCATCTAAAAGGAATGAAATAGTTGGCCTAAACTAATCACAGAGCTTCACATATTAATGTGCTGATTATTAAATCCTAAAAGCTAATAACCTGTCAATAACCAGCCCAGTCCTTGTTTTGTAACTGGACAAATACTTCTTTTGATGAAAGATAATATGAAGTATTATTTTATGAGTTATTAGATAACACACAACAATAATGCAGTCTTCATTGAGTACCATAAAGAAGCAACTACTTAGTGCCATAATTCAAAGATTCCAATCCAGTTAATGATTCATTTATTAATGAAAAGATATTAACTATTAAATATCCATCACAATATGATTATTCAATTAAAACCATATGATCCTTACACTTTGCACATATGTATTTCTTCCTAGTTGTGACTATCAGGTGTGTGCTCATAAATAAAGTTACTTCTAAAGACAACAGTAGATCACTGCGGTGACTGTGATGTACTTACTAACCCACACATTCAAATTTAGATATTCCAGTAAATGTGGGAATTAGAAATTCCAGTAAATGTGGGAATAAACAACTGTTTATATTCACATTGATTTTGAGCATTTCTGTCCTCCTGCTTTGTTACAGAGGTTTAAATGAAAGGTTCCATGATGCTTTCCTCTCCAAATAAGAAAAAATGATGCAGTAGTTTAGGAATAAATAAAATGGGTACATTTTCCTTCAGTTTTGGATTTTTTTTTCTTCTAATAATACACTATCTTGAATTGTTATGCAACTGTTTCATGTACAAATAGTTCAATTTGCTCATTTATTCATTTAAGAAATACTGGCATGCTGATTATATGCACAAGTCTCCCCAAACAGATTTTAGTATAATGCTTTGTTCACAGGAAACACACAATCTTTATTGGATGAAACAGTCATAACTGCTAAAAATGCAATTACTAGCAGGCTGCTATATTTTTTTCATAAGTGGCCATATAATTAAACATACCAATATAGCAGAAAAATCAAGCATATTAGGGGAAAATGTACCATATTCTCATTCTGATTCATGAAGTGCCATTATAGCTAAGTGTTTTCATGAGCTTAGCTCTTGAACCAACAGATAAGTAGATGATTAATTTCAGGGCTGTAAATAACAAAGTATAATGTACCCACTCTGGCTAATAATAGGTATACCTATTCCCAAGTGTTCAGTAATATAAAGAATCTCAATCAAGAAGCATGGAAAAAAGGAAAGAAAAAATCAGAGCTTCTTGGGCCTAACACTGGGCACTATTAACTTACTTTCTTAAAGTCCTACTAAATTATCTGTTTAGTTCTTCAAAATATAACCATAGGGAATATTTGCTTTTTCATGCAGAAAAGTGGCTCAACAATGGTTGTCAGTGGAATGTTAGCTGCTTTAGTTCAAGGGACTGTTTGTACCGTCTTTTTAATGCCCAGAGCACAGCATAAGGCCTTGCATATAAAGGGGCTTAATAAATGCCTGCAAGATTGGATTTATAAATTACTCAACTTTATACATTATTTCAGTCCCCCAAAAAGGAAATTTTGTTTTCTAAAAGGGAACTATAATAGTCTCACTTTCTTTACATTTGCACACAATGCTTTTAAGATTTAACATAAGGTTCATTACTCTCAGATTTAGCCTTAGATTTCCACTTTAAAATACATGAAGCCAGTTAACCACAAAAACTTTTAAAAATAAAAACTGGAATTCCATTCTTTCAATTGCTTTTTCCTCAAAGTTTTTAAAAACTAACTACTAAATTCTTGTTTGATGAGCTTTTAAGAAAATCTTGACTTTGAGGCATAATAATGACTTTTTTTTTCTTGTTTCCCTTAAAGAATGCTTTCTCTTTCTTCACCAAAACCTGCACTGTCAGAAGAGGTCACCGTATGAAGCTCTGAAGAATCTTTTGAAAGCCTTGTGTAACTTGAACGTTGGCTTCGTTTATGGGTCATGCTTTTCAGATTTTCATTCTGAATACCACTTGAGTTAGAACTGGAACCAGGCCGCATAATAACTTGAGAGATGTCCCTAATTCCTTCTGTTTCATCAAAATTTTGGTTAGCTCTATTGGATGGAGCAGTGTTGTTATTTAGGGTCATAGTACTGGGTGTTCGATTCAAGTTATAGCCTTTTTGACCAGTTACAGCTGGCCAATTTTCCTCAGGGCTACTAGCAATCAAGCTGCATTCTGAAGGACTCTTCTTGTCTTCTGAGCAAATGGACATACGTGCTACAACTGGATCTTGAAGGCCACTTAAGCTATGTGGTATTCCCTGTTTTCCATTGTGGCTATCATCTTCAAGTTCTATAAGGTTGGCCTTTTCAAGATGAGAATCATCAGCAACTTCATTGTGAAGAGAATGATTTGGAGAACTTTCATTAGACCTTACTCCTGAATCAGAGGAATCTTTTTTGTCTAGGAGGGCATCTGATAAATACTCTTTTGCTTTAATGAAGGTTCTAATAGGCTCTGTGCTTTGTTCTGGAGATTTAGGTATTCTATCTACTTTTCCTTCTGCTTTTTTATCTTTATCTTCTTTGAGAAGTGGAGTATTATCTGATTCTTCTGTCCCAGACTCATCTTCATCACTTGGAAGTTTCTGATAGCGCAGCCCACTTCCTTTTAGTTTTAAATCTGTCTGGAAGAGGCTTGGTCTTTCTGAAGATTTCTTTCCTGGAAGAAGTTTACTTCCAGATTGATCAGATTTTTCATCTTCTTCAGTGATAGGATCCAAAGGAGATGCATCATTAGTGGAAACACCTGAAGATGAATAATCTATAACATCTCCCCTCTTGATCAGAAATGACTTCCTTGCATCATCTTGTTTCAGTTCACTATCCTTTCCTTTTTCTTGCTCTATAGAGGAATGAATGGAGCCCCCTGATGAACTCTGACCCATATAGTATAGCCCTGTGCTGTGTGGAGAAGATCTGCCACTAATTGTTGCAGAACTTGCACCCCCTTCTAGCTGAGACATCTGAGCAATATATTCTCTATAGGCATCTCTATATTCTGCCTGAACCTTATCAGTAAGTTTTGAGATTTCAATACTGGAATCCTGTGAATTGAGACTTGAAAGACTTGGGGTTCTGCGAGTTTGTGACTGTGAAGACAGAAAAAAGAAAATACTTTAAGAATTCAACTAAGCAATAAAGAAGAATAACAAATACCAGGAATTTTGAAATCCTAGAGTTCTCAAAAGTAACTTAAAATTATCAACATATAACGAAAAATTAATTATTACTTCCACTGAAGTTCTATAGCTCAAGCAGTTTTAGAAATTCTTCAATTCTGACATTATTTTAAAATTATTTTATGTAAAGATTTTTAGCAAATTTATTTAGAGTAATATTTTAAAATACACAGTAATTAGCACTTGTATCATCAAACAATCTTGGCACTTTTTTTATATCTACAAACTGTCACTTTGGTAAATTAATAAGACTAATAAAATAGTGTCATTGAAAAAAGGGAAAGAAGCAGGAGAAAGAGAAAAGAAATCTTTTAACATTAAAATGTTAGTTTTCAACATAGTTTCAGAAGTTACTTGTCTAACAACTTTGGAAGATTGAAGAATTCTGATCAATGTAATGACTAACTAGGATTTCAGAGGCCTCATAATGAAACAACCTACCACACTTCTTGATAAGAGAGGTAGTGACCTCAGAGTGCACACCGGAACATATGTTCATTAGGATATGTGAGAATGTCCTAAATGTTTTGCTTGCTTATACATATTTATTATAAGAATTTTGGTTTTCCTTCTTTTTTTAAGGGGGGGGGAAGGAGGTAGATTTTCTTTAACTGAAAAAAAAATTTTTTTTAATAAATTGTACTCCTACATATTATCACTCTGAACTTCAGACAAGTCTCTAAAACCATAAGTTATAGATGAGTTAAGTGGAGGAAAATTATACATAATGCATCAAATAAGTCACAGGTTCTTAACATATGGACCGTCACTATATACTGCACAATGTCAAACACAAAAAAATAATCAATATTACTTGTTTGTGACTGTACTTTTCCACTCAAGTACCAAATTCAGGGAAGAAAAAGGTACAAGGAAAAACATACAAAGTGAATAAATGATGCAAAAGAACAAGAGAAAAGGAGCTATAAGATTTGGAGTTGCATTAAAAAAGATAAGACGAGATGAGAGAACAGGTTTTCAATCAAGTTGGAATTAGAGAATTCTGGACAGCTGCTGATGTCATGAAGAAACAAAAACTTGTCTGTGAATGAATCCTTTTTAACATTTAATTTGAAAATGAAAGAATCCTTCTTAACACTCCCTAAAGTAGTAACCAATTCTCTTCTTGAACACCTGCAGTAAATGGGAAATCACTATCTCATGAAGCTATTTAATCCCATTTTTAAACAGCTCCAAGTGATAGCAAATTCTTCTAGTGAGCCAAAATTTGTCTGCTGTGACTTTCACATGTTATTTGTAGTTCTTACCTCCATAGTAAAACAGAATAAATATAATCCCTATTTCATATAAGTCCTTCAAACATTCAAAGACAGCAATCACAATCCAGCATTTCCAAGTCTTCTCTTCTCCAGAATAAATTTCCCTAATTTCTTCAACTATTTCTCTCACAACATGACGTTATGTCCCTTTGCCATTTTGGTAGCCCTTCTCTAAGTGTAACCTTGTTTGTCAATGTCTTTCCTGATGTGTGGTATTCAGAATTAAAAATAATACTCCATGTATTCTGATCTATGGCACTGTAGGACTATTTTTCTTTTTGTTCTGGATGCTTCTATAAGTGTAGTGCAGCTTAGATATCAGAATTAATTTAAATTTAAAAGGATCCAATAAGTTATAAGGAAAATATGGAGTAGGAAAACAAACACAGAATCCAAGGAAAGGGGTAAGGAAAAACTAGAGGAAAAAAGGTAAAAAGTAAAGATGTGGAACAAAATAGTGAGCCCCCAATGAGAGAGAAATGTCCTGTTTCCCTTCTTACATTCACTCACAATCTGATATTGATTACAAGAATTCTGCCACTTATCAATTTAAAAAAAGGTCAGATTTTAGGTCACAGTAAGAAACACGAACCATAGAATACCAATGAATTCTAAAGATACTAAAAACAACCCAGAAGGAAGAAAAGCAGCTAATCATGTTGGGAGGGTGGGGGACAAATAAGGGAAGGAGAATAAAGTTTTGACCTATTCTCTCCTTTAACTAGTCTTTTAAAAAAAATTCAACAGAATATTTTTAAAAAACTCTATTTTCTAACTTAAAAAAACACAACAACCCAAAACCCTAGTTTTGGCCCTGAGATGACAGGCATTAAAAGCTAGACTCTAACAACTCATAATGAAAGGAAGACAAAATGAAAAAGGAATGGGAGACAGAAATTAAAAGAAAAAAAAAAGGAAATACAAGAGAAATGAATAAAAATGTTTCCCATTAGTTCAAGAAAAAATTATCCTTATTAAATAATAGTAGACGTACCATGAATTATATGAACTGCTTCTCCTGAATATTTTTTCCTTTAAATTGAGTTTCCTTATAGCTGATTTCTATTTTTCATTCTCTCAAATTTATCCTTTTATCTTTTCCCTTTTCTTTCCTTCATTTCCTAAATCCTGCTCATGCATTCCTTCTCTGGCTCTTCTTTCCCTCATTCATCTTTTTTTGCTTCTCACTTTCTTCTTCCTGCTCTTCACCTGTCCTCTTCCTTCCTTTTCTGTAGCACATCCAGAGAAAGAACCTGCATACTAAAATATCTATCGTTTTTAATATTTTCAGTTACATTTAACATCAGATGAGAAAGTGATTAGAAAAAACTGCTATAGTTCTTTTACTATTTTGTGTATATACAGTTTTGTAATGAACTTAAGCTTTAACCATTTATTACTTAATCTAATCCAATTTGAAAATACCAAATGAATAAAATATGACCAATATTTTCCCTGCAAATAATACATTTTCCTTTTACTTCAGACACTAAAGGCAAAATTTAATTAAGTACCTGCCAACTTAAATTACTGTGGCGTGGAGGAGCTTCATCAAGACCAATAGTGTTCAGTTCTTCAAAACTGAAGTTCAATGTGTAGGGAGTATGACTAGAAAGCTCCGTATGTGGCAATTCATTATGTAATGAGCGACGAAGAGATTCGCCATGAGGGACTGAGATATCAGCATGATCTGACATTACATGTGATTCTTCAGGAATTGTATGGTTTTCTGCATTTCTCATATCAAGTACCTTAACAGAACAAGGAAAAACAGTATTACTGGTGCTAATGGAAAATCAGGTCTTAAAAGTTATTTTTAAAATTCCTGGTTATATTAGACAGCAGGAAATCTGAAAATACATTTTAAATAAATTTCCAACAGTATATATGGCTACCTATAATGCCTTTAGTAAGTAATAATGTAATAGATACTGAACATTTTAAATTAAGAGCAACACTGCCCTATAATTTGTGCACTGTACTATCAGTACTACTTTGAAATACAACTGAGATGAAGAAAACAATGTGATATTTAATACAAGCCACGAAAATGAACAAAGGTGCTGTAAACTAAACTTCAGCACAAAATACTTTAGGTGTGGTTTGGAAAACATCTATATATAAAATCAGAAATGCTATTAACGTTCTTCATATATGAGGAACAAATAAATACTTGGATTACATCTTACTGGATTAATAACAGGAACTACTTTAATTACTATTTATTTTGTACCTATGCTTTATACATTTATATATGTACATATCCTCCCACCCCCACCCCCACCCCCAATAGAAAGTAAGCTCCTTGAGAGAAGCTGCTTTTTTATTTTTGTCTTTGTTCCCCTAGCACTGAGCACAATGCTGGACACAGAAGAGGTATTTAATAAATTCTTGGTGGATTTCTTACTAGCTCTGGACAAAGAAGTGAATAAAAATTATTCAGTCTTACCATACTTCTGAAAAGATGCCAGTCCCCAAAATGCATGTTCATTTCTTTCTTCAACTCCTCAATGTTACACTGAGCCAGTACACGGCCATTAATATTTGCCTGATTAAATTAAAAACTGAATAAATATATATTAACACAAAAGCAACATGACAGATTTCTGAACTAAATATTTAATCCTTTTTTTTTTTTTTGCTTAGGCAATTGGGGGGGGGAGGTTAAGTGACTTGCCCAGGGTCACACAGCTAGTAAGTGTCATGTGTCTGAGGCCACATTTGAACTCAGGTCCGCTTGACTCCAAGGCTGCAGCTCTATCTACTGTGCCACCTAGCATCTCCATTTAATCCATTTTAAAGAAAACTGTTACAGATTACAAAAGGTTGTAACGAAGAATCCTTATTCATTATCATTTTACTTTAATAATCAGGATATTATTCCAACAATTTCAAGAACTTTATTAGGCAAAAGATGAGTAAGTCATAAGCCCATCCATCTCTGCCTACTTAAATCCTACTAGCACTTTAGGGGCCAGTTTAAGTAGCACCTCATTCACTCCAGACTTTTCCAGTCTCTGAACTCTTACAGCACTTAATGTTTGCTACTTATTTTGGCAATTTATCATGTCCTTCACGAATTCAAAAATCTAACTTCATCAGTGTGGAAACTCTCCTCCAAAGCAAATCACAATACTTAATAAAAATTTCATGAACAGTAGTCACCCCAAAATCACATTCTTTGATTTAAATCTTCTCACGGGCCTTCCTCTTGTACTCAGCTAGTTGATTCAAGGCTGAGTGTTTGTCATGTAGTCCTGTATTTCAAGTCCCTTCAAACTGGTAGGTACTAGTAAAGCATGCACAAGGGAGGATAGCCTTTGAGAATGCAGGCTCACTTTCATATCATGATCAGAGATTAGAATGGACTTTGGCGGAGGAACTAATTATATGCTGCATTATAATTTAACTACTTTATGCACATATGGGAAGTACCATTCTGTAGTATAAAGAGACCACTGGAGGTCTTTAAGAAATGGCTGACTTAATGGGTATGTTGTAATGGGGATTTTTTTTCAGATATGAGTTGCAGCAAATGACTACTGAGATCCTTTCCAACTCTGAAGTTCTGTGATTCTGACACCTTCCCACCTGTAAAGATGTCATTGTGATATGAATGTAGACAAATTTGTTTTTTTTTGGGGGGTTACAACTATAATCATCAGGACTCTCAATCCATTAATTTATAACAAATACATATAAATGTTTGTGAATCCTTACTGAAATCTTGGTCCTCAACAAGAATAATTGCCTAGCACTAAAAGTCTGAGAAGTAGTAAGGCATTCAAGAAAGAGAGAGGTAGTGGCATGTGCCACCCCCTTAACCAACAACTCCTCTCAGATTCTACTGAAGATAGCCCAGGACCCTGGGAATAATAGTGCCCATCATCCCCGTTCCCAGCCCAGACCCTGAAATCATCATTCAGGGAAGCAAACTTGTAAGAAAGGGGTTCCCCATTCCTATTAACTTCCCCCAGCAGGGTAGAAAATCTAGCCTATGTGAAGAGGAAGGAACTCTGAAGGAAAAAGAAGGAAGGACGTGCCAAGCAAGTCAAACCATCCACTGACTCAACCATCACTTCTAACAGCTATGTTATAGCTTCTGACTCCTCAGTAGCCACAGCAGATCCAGAAAAAGAAAGTTCTCACCAAGTCACTGGCCCTGTTCGACAGAAACACATATGGATGTATCCAATGAAATGTCATTAAAGAAAATGCATCATTTCATTTTTGCCATTCCACCCTAAGGTCCATCAGATTTTTCTATTTGACTTGCAGTCGAAACCTCTTTTATGTGTTCTCTCCCACATTAGAATATGAACTCCCTGAAAGCTGGGACTGCCTCTGCATTTCTGTTTGTGCACAGCACCCTCACCTCTTAACAAAGTACTTTGCATATAGCAAGCAATTAATACATGCCTTTTCTTTCATTCATTGATTTATTCAAGAATAAAGAACAAGTTTATGTGATTTCTCAAATACAGTAAGAAAAGATAGGGTAGGAGCAGTGCATTGGACAGAACACTGGCCCTGGAGTCAGGAGGACCTGAGTTCAAATCCAGCCTCAGACACATAAACCTTACTAGCTGTGTGACTCTGGGCAAGTCACTTGACCCAACGGGTAGGGGAGGGAAGGGGAGGGAAGAAAAGAAAAGAAAAAGAAATGATAGGGTAGTTCATCTCATTTATGTAGAAGATATGTTATAATCTCTTTTAAGTGGCACACTGCCCTGTTTGAAGGTTCTGGAAAGGAGGCATGGATCCTTTAAATGTATAAAAGTCTGTATCAAAGGCCTGGCTATATTGTTTTAAAAAAAAAACCAGCAAAGGCTCCTAACAAGTCAATCAAATGCTAATTTTAAATTAAGTTTTACACAGATTCTAATTTCAAAGATCAGGGGAATAGTTTGGTGGAAGACAATTACTGTCTTCTAATTAGAAAAGGACCATTCACCTTATATATCTCTTTTTCCACAAAAGCCAGTTTCTTCCTTTAAACAGATATAGAGAAACTGTGAGAGAGAGCTAAGTAAGCACCAGCTACCATGGTAAAAAAAAAAAGCCCATACTACCAAAATATTTTCATTTAAAATGAGCAATAGAAGAAAAGCTCCAGGGATTTTAATAAATGGCAATAAACAGATTTTAACAAATAGGAGGTAAAAAAAATTCAGCCCTTATTCAAAACTTAAGAGTTGTGGCTAGACCAGAGACCAACTAAAGACAGTTACCGGGGTAGAGAAAAGAGGAAGGAACTAGGGTTAGAATAACAGCTGAGGACTAGAAAGAAAGTTCATTATAGCATGTGTTTATATTTCCCTAATCCTGGCTCTAAACTAACCTTCTTTTAAGAATCACAATAATATTTGTGATTATCTGTTTCGTGAGCTGTTGTGTCAAAAAACTTATGATATCATGATTAACTTCCTAGGGATAAGACTGGGATGATTCTGAAGCAAGAAGTTCAGAGTTTATCCCTTGAACCTATACTCAAATGCTTTCTAGTTCAATAGGACCTCACAGAGCTTGTGATTCAGTAGAGGAACACTCATTCTTCACTATATTGATACATTTTTAATGAAAATATTCTTGATTAAGATAACATAACTTGCTGGAAATGTGCTCAACTGCAAGGTGAGTAATCAAAGTGAAGCCTTTCTACTTCAACGCATGGCTATTTGACTTAGCAGGTGCTAAAAGTCAATTAATGGTAGCTAATCAAATTATAGGTATACTGGCTAGGAGGACACATAACTCTTTCTTTCAGGATAACTGCGCCAACCCAAAATCATTAGTGAACAATTACACAATCATAAAGTTAACAGGTTCTAAAAACATCAATTTTTTTAAAAAACTGCATTAAATCTGACAAATTTTGATAATGATTCAAAGCATACAAATAACTGAAAAATGAGAAAGAACACAAAAGATGAGGTTCTCAACTGAAAATAGAGCTAAAAATCAAAGTGGTAATGCCATTTGACTACAGTAATAGTTTCTGAAAGTGTTGTTTATTTTTAGATATCACACTCATGTTACAAATTAATGGGAAAAAACTGAAAACTTGGGATGATGAAGACAGAATCATGTTTAGATTTGGGTTTTTCTGCTCTTGAGGGAGTACACTTTAAGAGGTTAAATTTGGGGCAGCTAGGTGGCCCAGTGGATAAAGCACCGGCCCTGGAGTCAGGAGGACCTGAGTTCAAATCCAGCCTCAGATCAGACACTTGACACTTACTAGCTGTGTGACCCTGGGCAAGTCACTTAACCCCAACAATTGCCAAAAAACAAAACAAAACAAAAAAAGAGGTTAAATTCATTGGCTTCACTTTATACAACCTCATTTTTTCTCTCATTCAAATATTAGTCTGGTATATAACTACATACGTCACCTTTTTTATTGTTGCACAGTACTGTGGCATCATACTTTGGTCCAGGCCCTCTATTTGTTTCAGTTTCTCACACACAGAATCCACATTCATTGAGTTCAATGTCACTGACTGTGCTGACACTGTTCCCTAGGGAAGGGAAAAAAATATGCATTTATAGTTATTTTTAAAATGTTTTATAGATACAAAGTTTTGTGATGCAGGTGTGCAAAATCTCATGGTGTGGAGCTATAAAAACAACACAATTAACACTGAATTCAATAATTTAAGAAATTATCATAAGGAATAGTCCAAAATCACCTATACTGATAAAATGGGAAGGGAATATTACTTAAGACATAGTACAAAATTATTTTAAAATGTTAGACTGCCAATGTGTGGCCTCACTATGGAAAAGCTGTAGTTTCATTCAAATCACAAATTTCTAAAACAGGAAAACAGAAGGCTAGGACATTTAGCCACCAAGCAAGCCCAAATGGAAGAGTGTTTTCTGAATATGCCTTAATCAAGAGAAAAACAAAAGAGATAAACTTTGAGGAAAGTATATTAAAAAAAAAGCTCACTTACATAGAGAATCCAAGTGTCTACAAACACCAAAAGAAAAAAAATAACCCCCAAATACAATTATTTATGTGTTTCCTCCCAAATTCTATAACGCACCTTATAGAATGCCTTAACCAAAATAAAAAAACAAACATAAAAATCCTAAAGATTTCTGGTATCTGCTATATTTTAAGTAAATGCTGGTAGAATTTTAAATTTCCCTTGTAACAATGTATGCAGCCCATCATGAAAAAGAAAAGTAGATTTATTTCTTAGTTATGTCATTAGTTGAAGATACCATATCAAAAAAATTTAAATCTATTATTTAAAAGGCAAAAATAAGAGTAGCTTATAATAGTTATTTGTAGCAAGGGCAGATCAGTATGGAGTGACATACTGCTTTTCCTGTCCCCCTCTGTCGATTCTGCATCAGGATAGGCATGTGTAAACACTAAAGGGAGAATAAAGACTGTCTTTAATTCTTGTACTCACCACCATAAACACCAGCTGGGGGAACTTGATATATTACTCTTAGTAGAAACCAAGACCATTCTAGAAGATCATTTAAGAAACCTACCTCCAAGTAAAAATTACATGATTTGAATTACAGAGGATACATTAGCCTCCAAGACTACCGTAGAATTGTTGTTAAATGTTAGATATTAACATGGCATTGAACTCTAGTTGAAACATACACAAATGACATTTGTATTTGTAGGTGTACACCACCCACTCCACACACACTTACAAGTACACTATATTTTGTGTATATGTATGAACATGTTTGGAGTAATGGATGAAGTCATACAAATGGCACTTAAATAACCCCCTCATGATCTCCAGCAAATTGACAATCACATCATTGATAGAAAAAGATGAGGAAACCATGATGTAGAACATACTGGAGGTAAAAGCATTCATTTTATTTAAAAAATACATAATCACAAAGAAAATACAGACACAAAGTACATCACGACAAACTAAAAGACTAAGGTATCAGGTACTTTAGAAAAACAAAAAATTATCAATATTTCTACATTATAAGCACTATTTATTTTCATGTTTGGTATTATTTTAACTGAATTATGTCACTTAATATCAAATAAATACTAATATTTCCTATATAAAATACTATTGTATACAATATCAGTATGAAGCTTTTTTAGAGAGAAGATAAGTGAAAAGCAAAGAAAGACATACTGAATCACATCATACTCTTAAAATCATCTTACTCATAAAAATGTTATTAGACTCAGTTAAATTAAGTTTTTAAATCAATAATCACTAGTCTATAATTTAGTTAAAAACACTACTAGCTATGTAAAAGGCAAGAATATATTCAAAAAGCATAGATTTAAGTTTTCAAGATATATCCAAGGAACGCTTTATTCATTTGTCTAGACAGAGGTAGATTACTAGGTTAGAAAGTACATCTATGTAATGAATTCTATTCTCTCGTCGTAAGGCAAGGTTCTAACCTTTCAACACTAGGGAAAAAATGTCTCCAAGTAACAAGTACTATTCAAAGTAAATTACTAGTGAATAACAACATACAGTTATATGTAAAGGATCAATATGGTTACTATCAGATAAATGAATTTTAAAGGCACAAAAGTCTGTAATAGATGAAGAACTGACTAAACCTAAAAATACTCAGACAGCAATACAGACCCATCTAAGCCCAAAGAAATCTAGGCAAGCACAAGCTTAGTTTAATAAAAAATTTTATAGTCATAAACAATGATAACTATCATTGTGGTTAAAATATAATTTAAGATAACATACATAAGAAAGGTCCTTAGAGATGATTGGTCCAATCTCTTGAATTTAGGTAGGTGAATGTTTAAACCATCAGTGAAAAATAACAGTCTATCCTTAAAGATTTCATAGTATGCAAATATTCCAAGAATTCTTTCAAAGACTGTAATTACATGAAAGATGTAATTGTAGGTTCTAGCTACTTTAGTAGTTTCCCTAAATAAGCAATAACTTGTTCATTTAAATATTCATTAAGTTTCATATTTAGATAAAATTCCTATTATTCAATAAATTCAATGAACATTTATAAAATATACAATTTCATATTACTGCACATACTATGTGCTCTATGATATATTTATTCTTTGCTTAGAACTATAGTTGAATGTCTTTATAAAAATTCACTCTAGACTACTTTTAAAAACAATGCACAAAATGTTTTTTAGTCACTTGCCCAACTTGAAGATAAAAATCTTATACTCTTCAAAGGCCAAGAAAAATGTAATCTTTATTTTAGAAACTGAATAGACTGATACTAGGTCCAGCATTAGGCTAATGTCATATGATAAATTTTTCACTTGATGAATTTGCATAGGAAGAAAGAGAATTCTAGGATACAATATAGCTATTTAAAAAATTAAGCCTTTTACACTGCAGATCACGCTTTACTTTCACGTACTTCCTTCTATGTTTTCATGACATCATTATTTCCTGGTTCTTCTATCTAACTTCTCTTTCTCCTTCGGTTGATTCTCACTCAGGTTTCTCCAGCTAACAGTGAGGGATCTCCCAAATTTCTGTCTAACGCTATGCTATCTCCTCTCTTTATACTAGGTAATCTCAATTCCAATGATTTTCATTTGTATTTCTATATATATGGTTCTCAAATGGACTTCAGCCCTAATATTTCTAACTTCTAGTCTCACATCTCAAATCATCTTTTAGACATCTCAAAGTAGATGTCCCAGAAACATCTTAAATTCAACATGTCCAAACTGAATTATCCCCTCATCCCCAAGTGCTTCCCTGTAACCTTCCTACTAATGTTAAGGGTAGCACCACCCTCCTCCTCATCAAGACCCAGTTGTCACCTTTGACTCTTCACCCTCTCTCATACCCCTGATAATCTGCTGCTAACTCGTGTCCATTCTGCCTTCTTTCATTAATCTCGTATATGCTTCCTTCTCTCCTCTGACTTATGACAACCCTTGTATAGACCTCTATCACTTCAGGTCTGGATTACTTTTGCAATAGTATACTTACTGGTCTCCCTGCCTCAAGTCTCTCCTCACCCCAATCCATCTTCTACTCAGATGTCAAAATGATCTTCTACAAAGAAAGATCTGATTATGTCAGTCTCCTATTTAAAAAACTCCAGTGGCCTCCTATTACCTCTAGGATCAAATATAAAAATCCTCTGTTTGACTTTCAAAGCCATTTATAACCTGGCTCCCTTCTACTCTTCTAGTCTAATAGCTTACTTCCCTCCAGTTCCTTCCAAATGAGGCAACTAAGTAGTAGAGAGGACAGAGAGTGAGGTCTGGAGTTAAGAAGACCTGAGTTCAAATCCCACCTCAGACACTTACCAGCTGTGTGATTCCAAACAAGTCATTTAACCTTTGTCTACCTTTGTTTCCTCAATTATAAAATGGCATAACAATAGCACCTAGCTCCCAAGATTACTGAAGATCAAACAAGATATCTGTAAAGTACTTAACACAGTGCCTGGAACACAGCAGGCATTAATAAATGTCCTTTCTTCCTTTCACGTACTCTGTGATCCAGTGACATGGGAGTTCTTGCTGTTTCTTGAACATAACATTTTCCCCCAACTCCAAACATTTTCATTTATTGTCCCCCACGCTTAGAAACCTCTACTCCTCTCTACCTCTTAGCTTTCTTCAAGTTTCAGGTAGTCTCACCTTCTTAAGAAGCTTTTCTCAGGAGGCAGAGTTGAGATGGTAGAACGAGAGTCAAAACTTTGCCTAGCTCGCCCACTACACATTTCCCATAACAATCTAGGAAATGTGTGAGACTAAATTCTGATCAGAAAAGCCAAGATAAAGTCACAGTGAATCATTTTTATAGTCCAGGGCAGCTTAGGAAGATAGGGAGGTCTGCAGACACTGGGATGGTGACTGGCTATAAGTGCAGGGGCTGCAGAGTGGAGCATTCCAGCACCTAGAGACTAAAGGGGCTGAGACTGAACCTCAAGACTGGAAACAGTATGGCAGAAAGACATCACAAGTGACCCCTAAATCATCACTAGGAACAGCAACAAGTGCCAGCTGCCAGCTTTATCACTCATTACCCAGTTCCAGGGCAGAGAGAAGCAGCTATGAGTGAGAAAGGCCTAGTTGTGTAGGGAGCAAAGAACAACTTACAAAAATATTACTCTGTGACTCTGAAACCAAAAGCAGAGGGAAAACCCATTGCTAACCTTTAGCCCTAACCTCTAAGCCTTTGGGGGAATAACCAGGGTAGGAAACTCAAAACAAAGGGAAGCCTTAACATAAACACAGAAGAGAACAAGTAGAAAATACGCACAAGCAAACCTTCAAAGAAAAGTGCAGCTCTAACACAAGCCCAACAAAAATTCCGAAAAGAGTTAAAGAGATAAAAGAAAAAAATAGATTTTAAAAACCAAATAAGAGTGGTAGAGGAAAAAAATGGGGGGAAATGAGAGCTTTGGAAGAATGTTATGAAAAGAGAATTGATAGCTTTGTACACAAGTTAAAGAACATTACTAAAGAAAATAACTCCTTAAAAACCAGAATTAGCCAAAAAAGCTATGAAAAAAATAATAAAAAAAGTTAAAAGATTGAAAA